ACTCACCCTACTCCCTTGGTCCATACGATCCTTGGGCTGACAAGGCGAAGAAGTTCTAGTTCGACCAATTTCCAATAGGAACCAATGGCTTCGTTGGACTTGGAACAACCATTGCAGCAGCAGCAGCAGCAAGCTCCGGCATCCTCCACACCCACCCGTCCTCCAAGGTTGCAGAGATCTTCTTCTTCTGCGAGTAACAACCTCCAAGATACGCCCAACGCCGGTTTCAACTCGGAATCCAGGTCCCCTAATCTTAGGAAGGTCCCTCCCTTCCGTCATCGTACCAGCCTTCAGCCATCCGCCGACGACGCTGACCAGACCCCAAGAAAAGTCCAGCCTCTTCCAACCCCTCCCACCAGCGAGTCCACCAGCAGCGCCAGCGGAAGTGTCGGCAGGGCCAGCAGCAGGCTCTCCCAGGCGCGATCCGCCAACTTTGACAACCTTCTCTCACTACCGGATGGCCCTACCCCTGGGATCGCCAGGTCCAGATCATCCGCCTCCTCCTCCAGGTCGGCCGGTGAGACCATTGGTGCCAGGAGCCCTGTCGAGAACCAGGCTGGCTTCCGCTCCAACTCGAGCATGAACACTGACTCGTCCACGCTCGAACCTGAGCCGCGTTACAGCACCTTGGGCAGGAGACATGCCAGCAACCTTACTGGAGTTGCCCTCGATAGCGTGAGTCTCTCCCAGCAAAATTTTTTAAAAAAAAAAAAAAAAATGCAATGTTGTGCTTATTTATATTAAAAAAAAATATACATATATATATTTGAGTCAAGAACAGATGGTTTTCTGTTGAAGAACTGCAAATTCTTTCATTTAAAAAAAAATTTTTTAAAAAAAAAAAAAAAAAAAAAAAAGAAATATACGAAAACAAAAGCAAAAACAGAAAAAGTGGTGGACGAAAGGATTCGGATCGCTTAACTTTACCATTTTCGCCTGAACCCACTTTCCTGCAGCCCCGCCAGCGCAGCAACGACTCAGCATCGTCCTCAAGAGCGAGCTTACTCCGGCAAGGATCGGATGCGACAAGGACCGCCAGCCAGAGGGAATTGAGGGCCGTGACTCCGTTACGTGGCGAGGAGGGGGATGACTTTCTTGCAAGGGACAGGCTCCAAAGGTCAGAGGGTAGGAGGAGAAGGAGTGAGATGCATGAGCACGAGGTCTCCCAGATCAGGTCAGAGTCGAGGCTCGGGTGGATGGAGGCCGGCATTGACGAGCAAGCCACCCTGAGATCCGACTCCTACCTTCGCTCCAAGTACTCGCCAAAGAAAGCCACGACACCCGCCAGGAGGTCCGGATCGAGCTTGGTGTACAGTACGGAGATGGCAGTGGGGGGTGAGGACGGCGATGGAGTGTTTTCGTCGGGTTCTGTGAGGAGGAGGAAGAAGAGCTCTGCCGAATCCTCGGTACATTCGAGTGGCAGGGGGAGCCACGCGTCGTCGACCAGGGCTGCGGACGACTCACATGCTCGTTCGTCCTACACGGGGAGCGTAAGGGGAGGCGGCGCAGGCTACGACTACATTGCTTCCAGGAGGACTGCGAGCCCACAACTGACCTTGGATGAGGCGGGCGGCCCTGTCGGTTCGATCTCAAGGGTTGGCGGCAAGAGGATCGGTTCTCCTCTCAACGATTCCCTTCCCCTCGATGGCCTGGCAGCTAACAGATCGTCATCTGCCCGAAACCCGATGCCACTCGAGTTCCGCCTTCCAGACAAGGAAACGCGAAGGGCCTACAGAGCGGGCGCAGGGAACAGGGAAAGGCGATCATCGCTCAAGAGTGAAACCGACAGTGTCAGTGAGGTGGAGGAGCTGGAAGAGGGAGAGGAGGCAGGACGGGACTCTCCTCCTCTTTCTTCTGCTCCTACCCTTTCCGAGGTCCGTCCAAGCGAGGATCAAAGCCTTCGGACCCCAAGCATGGGTTCCGGCGGTTTCCCGACACCTTCCTCCTCCTCGCGCAGCAGCAGCAACAGGCAGTACTCGTCTGGCACCCGGAGGAGGTACACGTCGGATGCGCGATCCGATGACCTGCCAAAGTTTGATTACGACGGGAGGGGAGGGACGCAAGGAAGTCGGCTGTCGGTCGACAGCTCCTCGGCCAACAGATACCTGGCGCAGGGCACCGGTCACGTTCAGGCGGCCACCCCGCTGAGCCTTCGGACCAGCTCGCGAACCTCATTCGCCCACCCCGACGTTGCCTCTCCGAGCGAGGAAGCGAGGGCGCGAAAGATATCATCCTCCTCATCCGTCTCCCAGCGATCTTCCGGTGCAGCGTCCGACCTTCATCGTTCTGCGTCGAGAGCCAGCATGAGGAGGGCCCTCGGCCGAGACGTCTTCGACGACGAAGGTCTGCCTTCACTGCCGGGTCGGGTCGACAGCCCTTCGGTCCGAGGGGTCGAGCAAAGGTCGCTCTCGGAGAGGCTAAGGATGCTCAAGGAAAGGCAGAAGGAGCTCAAGGAAGGGAGTGCGGGGAGGAGCGTCTGGCAGCACGAGCTCGATGAGCTCCGACACAGGATCGACGAGCTGACGGTCGCCGGCTCGCAAGCCTCCGAAGGATCCCGAAGTCCGAGCGTCCAGTCGATCAGGGCACACAGCGTGGCGGCTGGAACCAAGACCTTCACTCCCAACCCCCGACCGCTCCCAAGGTCGCCCGCGACAGAGCCGATCAAGAACCGGCATGAGCGTGCTCTGACCCTGTCCGAGATCGACCCGTACGAGGCATCCGACAGGGCAAGCTCGCACGACTTGGACCTACCGAGGTCGACCAGATCCTTCAGCAGCCGCGCGACGAAATCGAGCTCTGTCAACGCGCAGAGGAGCTACACCTCGATCGGGCATCACGTCACGGCGACCTCCCGAGCTCCCATGACGCCCGACATTTCGACCGCTCACAGGCTCGCAGCCGCCAGCAGAGCGAGCGTGATCCAGTCGGCCACCCTACCAGCTGTGGCCAGGTTCCCCTCCGGGTCTGTCGCGACGGGCACGAACAGGATCCGATCCGAAGGCGCCGCCGAGACGGCACCCGTCCACGATCGTAACATGTGGAACGCTCTCGACATGTTCGACAGGTACTTCGCAGGCAACGGTTCGGCCATGGCCACGGGCACCAGCACGCCTTCCACTCCGGGCTCGGGTCCGGAGTCGGTCGAGCTGGTGGCCAAGTTCAAGCAAGTCACCAGCTCGGCTTCAAAGATCAACGCTGGGCTGAGACTTTTGGTCCAGACGGCGGTCGAGGCGCAGATCGATGCCGAGCTCGAGGACCAAAATCGCGGCGGTGGCGGCAAGGCGGTCGACGCTTTCCGACAGCTGGACGCGGGCCTCACGCAACTGCTCAAGTTCAGCGACGACCAACTGAGGAACCTGACCGACGGATTGATCGCCTTCACCAGGGCCGAGAGGGAACGCGACCGCCACAGGAAGATCTCGGCGGAGTCTGTCGTCACGATGAGCGGTGGTGGGTTTGGAGGCTCCGGGTCGGGGAGGCCTTCTTCGAGGATGTCTACGACCGCGTTCGCAAGCCCTGCCGTCGACGACGTCTCCTCGACGAGGAGAAGCATCGACACAAGGAGGAGTAGCTTCGACCTTCGTAGGAGCGCCAGCCGAGAACCTGGGAGTCCTGCCGGTACCGTCATCGATCACGGCGTTGGTTCCAGCGGTGGGACGAACGGCGTAGGTGGACACAGCAAGGCGAGCGTCAGGATCAACGAGAGGTTCCTACACCTCAACAGAGCTCCACCTTCTCCCTTCTCACCTCTCCAAGCCAAAGGATCCAACTCCCACGCAGCTGGAGGAGATAGGTTACAGATGGCCTCGCCTTCACCACTCACGGGATCGCAGGCGATCCCAGGCGGTGGTGGCGTTGGTGATCACGTTGAAGACAGAGTCGCCACCAAGAACGTGGCCTCCGTCGACGTCGGACCAACGAGGACGACGACTTCGGCGTCCACGATCGGATTCCACTCAAGATCGAGCTCCGAGATGTCACCCAACGCTCTCCTGAGAAGGCAAAGATCCACGGTCCATGGGTCGGCGGCCTCGTTGGCGAACCACCATGTCAACGCTGTGGTTCAGGCTTCGTCGGCTTCGGTCAAACCACCCTCCTCCCTCAGTCCCAGAAGACCCAAGATCAGCTTCCCTACCGTCTCGAACGCGACCGCAGCAGCCTCTCATCGTGCCGAAGTGGGAAGCTCGGAGGAAGGAGGAGGCATGATGATCGAACCCATCCGAAAAGTGGAATCACCTTCCTCCTCTCCTCATCGGAAGGTAGCCTTCCCAACCAAGAGTGGAGATCGAAGGGGAGCAGAAGAAGTGCAAGTCCATAGTGGATGGCAAGAACCCTCCTCCTCCTCCTCCCTCCTTCGTTCCTCCCACTTCGTCAGCGAACCTCTGGGATTGGACCTCGCCTTGAAAGCCGGGAACCCAACCTCGACCAAGACCAGGAGGAACACGGTGGCGACTTCCAAGGTAGAGCAACCCATCCTTGACGACGAGATCCCAACACCCCCTCCCGAAACGGATCCAACCTCGCTTCCCAAACCTCCTCCTCCCAGACCACCAAGGCACGACCTGATCAAGTCGGGAGCATCGAGGTCCGAAGACGACCTCGATGCCGATGAAGAAGAGGACAAGAAGAGTCTAACCAAGAGGATCTCGAAGGGTTTCCTCAAAGGCGTCGTCGGCACCTTGATCGGAGCCAACGAAACTTCCCAACCTCCTTCTTCTTCTTCCCTTCCTCCTGTATGATGTTGTGTTTTTTTTCTATTTCCTCAACTTCTCCCTGTAATGAAACACCACGAATGGTTGTACGATCTTACGTTCCTTCTGCTAATTTGATACTTCCCTAACTCACATGGACCGCGACGGCGGTTGGGTCCACTTCCTTTCGTCATGTGAAGTTATCTCGAGTAAGAGGTGAAATGAGGACGAACGACTTGACGCGGTCTCGGCGAGGAAGGAGATGATGTGGTGGAAAGGGAAAAAAAAAAAAAAAAGTTGAAAAAGGTATGCGCCCAAGGGGGTTCGAACCCCTGACCTCCACCTTGCGATCCACATGGCGTGTATGGGAAGGTGGCATGCAAAACCACTACACCATGAGCGCTCCTTGGTGTGTATTTTAGAATGTGTACGTAGGAATATAAAAGCGCCTATTTTCGCCCAAACTCGACTATTCTTTCCCAATCAAGACAAGCATCACCCTCAAACCCCTCCTCCAAGACTTGACTTGCTTAAACCCACGATCCACACTCACGAGGGGGCCAAGCTTTTGAACTCTAACACTCATAATTGCGATGATGGGGTTTTCTTCGTTTTTTTTTTAATTATTATTTTATTTCTCTTCTTCCAACTTTCATCGCCAAGCCTACTTTTGGAAACCTTGACTTTCAAAAGAAAAAAAAAAGGGGGGGGG